AGTACAAAGGCAAATATTTTGTATATTAGAGTTGGTCTGCCTACTATTTATTTATGCAGTGATAAAATTTATGAAACTATTCACACTGAAGATTACTGGTGTTCTTTAAATGGAAAGCTTAGGGATATTTTTAAAGAAAAAAATTTTAATGAAATCCACAAAATGATCTATCTAGATATAAATAGAACAAATCATGCAATTTTTATAGAGAATGATTCTATGGCCAGTTTTTACATAGCTTTAGAGATTATAGTTTTTGGAGGGTTCACAAACTTTATTCTACAGCAAAATCATAGCCAAATATAATTCCATATTGATGTTCAGATTAGAAAGAAAAACAAAACTTTGAAAGGGATAACAAAATAAACATCCAATGCACTAACCTTCCAATGTGGAGGCTTATTTCTCTTAACATTTTGACTTATATCTGTAATATGCATTGATATCCGATAAATTATTTTTAAGGGAACAAAAACATGACATTGAATAACTGAAACCCACCACCCTGTGCAGTATATATGGGCCTTCTGTGCATAGCAGATGCAACTTACAACAAAATTTCAGAAGAAAATGGCTTATTTTTACCCTCTGGTGACAAGATCAAGCATAGTTTTGCTCTTTGGAGAGGGTTCTCATGGTCCAGGTGAATTTAGAAGAAATTATTGTCAGTTTTAGATTAAAATATTTCCATATACATGTATCTATTGTTAGCAAGTAATTTCTAGTGTCTCAGTATAGGATAATTCTAGTCAATTTCTCCTGGCAGGAATATATTTAAATCATTTCAGACATGAAGAAGCCTATCTTTTCTCTTAAACATCTTCTACTTATTTTTTCAATCAAGGTTTCTAGTATTCAAAATGTTTGCATTCAATAAATCATTAAATTGCACTTCAGCCCTTAATTTAGTGCTTTCTTTTTTCAAATCTCTATAGCATGATGTTGTTATGCTACGAAATCAAACCCTGGTTTCCTATCTTCATGATGAACAGGATGAAAATGAAAATAATTTTTTACTTTGAGAAGAAAACACTTGAACCAAATATTAATTAACTGCCACTGTTCAAATACACATCTTTTTGATTAACTGTTAATGGCAGATGAAAAGTAATTACCAATACATCTTTTATTAAATTACCATTCACTTTAATTAACAGAATACTGAGTAAATATAGAAGAGTCTTTTAGTTAAATAGAAAATTCTTACCTAAAAGGATATCACCGAGTAACATATTGGAAATAGCATTTAGTTTAATTAGCTCTGTTTCCCATGTAAAATATAAACTCATTATTTTCTTTGAAATAATCGGTCCTTACAGCAGGTTCAGATGAGTCATATTCTCAACCATGTTACTGAGTTAACTATTAAATGCTGTGGCATGGGTTTTTTTTTTTTGAACAATGTTAGAGAAATTACTAATTACTTTCCTCTAAAAGTTAAAATATTATACAAAGGAATTTTTTGATTTTGCATTTTAGTATCTTTATTTCCATATGCTTTAACATTTTTGCCTAACTATCATTTACTTATGCGAATTCTTACTTTATTTTACCTTGGGTTCTTTTGAATCATTTCTCATTGACAATAATACATTTTTAGCTTAAAGATTAAAAAGCTTAGATCAATTCAAGTACCTCAGAGCAACTGGAGTTCCTTTAAGAACAAGTTGTGAGGAAACAAATCTCTGTGTTTTCTTTAGATTTAGTAGAGGTTGAATGATTTTCTTAAATTATTATCAACTCCGATTTTTTAAAAAAATTACCAGGTCATGAAATTACTTAGTTATAATCACAACTAAGCGGCAAAAAAAAAAAATAGTCAGACTAATTCCATTCCATAAAAATATATGTTCTTAAATAATATCAAGTACTCTTTTTAAAGAGGTAAAGAAATAACCATGTGTTCAACGTTAAAATTTTATGTGCCTTTATTTGTAGTAGTCTTTGGCTCTTTTGGTAACTCATCCTGAAGTAAGTTATATTTTGTTTTATGAATAGCAAAAGTTGACACAGGGATGGAATTTTGACTTTTTCAATTTTGAAGTAATTAATCATTAAATGAAAGCCTTAAGAGATTCATAACTCTTTATTGAGTCTGCAAAATTTTAAAATAAATTTTATAGGAGAATAAACACAGTTGAAAATGTCAATTAAATATCACAACCAAATAGGTTCAAATATATTTGCTTTTATCTAAAACCTGAGTCAGTATTGATCAGTTGTGATCTCCCTGCAGTAACTAGAACGTGCACACGCATCCCAAATCTGCATAAGAAAGTGGGTGCCTGGCTCTGCTTTCCTGCTTCTACTCCCCTGGCACTAGTCCTAATGATATTTGTTACTGAACTGTCGATATATTAATATGGCAAATTTTACATGTAAAGTGAAGTACCAGAAACAGGCCTGGCCTGACAAAAAAATTAAGATTGTCAAGAAAAATATTTTTAGGAAACCAGTGTGAAAAAGCATGAAATGTTTAGAGTTTTGTGAAAAGATTATGTACTCTACAAACATTAATGTTCTTTTCATATTCAATTTACTCATTCCCCTGACTGCTTGTTGATGAATCAGGTATAAACAACAACAACAAACCCTAAAAAACTTAAAAGAACATCAGTGTTGTTATGCTAGTGAGTCAACACTTTCTCCTCTTTCCTAGACTTATGTTTCCTAAGTCCCTGAAGAAGTCCCTGAAATGAGATATTCATTGTGTACCTGAACTATAACTTCATAAAGTGTCAGTACTGTTATTAAAATGTGGTGTCCCACACAAATTAGAGCAGGATATTTCTAACATCAAATCTTATTTTAAATACTGAAACTAAAAATACTTCATTTTCAATCACAAGTAGAAAGAGATAAGTTATGTGTATATGGATGTGTGGGCTGTGTAGAGAGTGGGAGTGTTATATTAAAAGAGGAAGGATTACATGTTTATAATATGAATGATCATTTTTTAATAATCACACTTTATCAATCGGAAGGTAAACCTCCCTCATGTATTATGTGAAAGATGAGTTGTGGTGAATTTCCTCCTCTTAACCTTTTTCATAGGATTAACTAGTACTCTGGCATGATGAGTTTATTCTAACTCCTAGGAAAGATTTTTTTAAAATAATTTAAAAAGCTTATTTTAATCTATAATCCCATATTAAAGTCTCCCAATTGGCCGATGGCTCACATTTTTTCATTGCAAGCATTAAAGTGTCTATGGATCAATAAGAAGTACTTAAAATATGTTTTTGTACGAAAATAATTATTATACTCATTTTGGAAATGTAGTTGCTAATTTATTTAATACTTTAAGCTGCAGCAATATCTACTAATAAAGCAATTGTCTCCAAAAATGTCATTCTATTAAGAGTATAACTTTTGTCTTCCCATTTGAAAACTTTTATATCTCAGTAAAACTAAGAGTTCCAAAATAGAAGTGTGGAAGGTCATCTTCATTCTGCCTATAATAGCAAATGATTCTTTTAGACTTGATAAGGTAACCAGGTATTTTCAAACAGGTTCCTTCTCACTGAAAATACAGTGAGAAAACGTTAGCTAGGAATACTTGTTGTCATTAGGATGGTATAAACATTTTTGAAAAATTTTTAGCAAAACTATGTTTGCCTTTGAAAAGTTAATGTAAAATATTAACCTTAGTGGTAATGCAATCATTGTGAGAGATGCCCACAAACAAAATTTCAAGGCTTTTAAAATTTTATTTTTTAATATTAAGAAATACAGAATTTTATGAAAATAAAAATTTCATAATTGCTGATAAAATTTTCTCATCCTGATTAATGTTTTTATTTTCTTGCCCTTTTTTTTTTAAACAAAAAAAACCCTTCTCTCTTAGAATAAGCTGAAATAGACATTGTCTATACTACACATCTCAAAAGTAAGTTTGGGGTAATCCAATATAGATGCCTTCCAATAGGGCCTGAAAATGAGACAAAAAAATTGACCTGATTTAAAAGAAAGTTCTGTCTTGTAAAAACATTTGCATAGTCTTTACATCTAGTGGCCTGATCCTTGATCCTTATAAAGGCAAATGCCTTTCATGAAAGGACTGGAGGTCTTGGCCTTTACAATTAATTTGTTTATTTTTATTAAATATTGAAGTTGTATTATTTACGATATGTTTCTATAGCTTGCTGAAAAATAAATCATCCCTTCTTTAAGAAAATACTCGTTTCAATGATTAGCTTCTGATTGGGTTTAAAAGTCACCGTTACTGCGTACAATTTAAATGACAATGAGCACAGACAGTTTAGTTGTACCTTTGGTGTCTGTTAATATGATCTACCAGAAACACAGGGCCTACATGATAACTTCATGTCACAAAAATAACATGTCACAAAAAATACATGTCACAGTATTTGAGAACCTTACAGACACTTTAAAAATGAACTTCTGATTCTATTCACTTCGGAATACTAATGCTACATTTGAGATTATTAGAATTTAAAAAAAAAAATCAGTTAAACAGAGCAACATGTGTTTGAACTAATATAGCAAGAAGACAGTACAAAATAGTAGCCATACTAGCTCAATCTCCACCTTCCAGTCACTAAATATCACTTCCGAAATTTATATTCAAAATGATTCTTTAAATTTACAGCATTATCTGTATGGTTTTTTTTTTTTTTTTTTTGAGACAGAGTCTGGCTCTGTTGCCCGGGCTAGAGTGCCGTGGCATCAGCCTAGCTCACAGCAACCTCAAAGTCCTGGGCTCAAGCCATCCTCCTGCCTCAGCCTTCTGAGTAGCTGGGACTACAGGCATGTGCCACCATGCCCGGCTAATCTTTTCTATATATATTTTTAGTTGTCCAGATAATTTCTTTCTATTTTTAGTAGAGACGGGGGGATCTCACTCTTGCTCAGGCTGGTCTCGAACTCCTGACCTTGAGCGATCCACCCGCCTCGGCCTCCCGGAGTGCTAGGATTACAGGCGTGAGCCACTGCGCCCAGCCTATCTGCATGTTTTAAAGAGCTAGCTTGAAGGTTAGCAGAGTCAAACCTCACCAAGAAAAGAATTTGCTGAGATAAAAGAAAGATATTATCAGATAAGTAACATCAATTTTACTGTGCAAAGATTTAATGCTGTATAAGTTCAAATTTCCTTTAAAGTTTATATAGAACCATGTGCACAACTGGAAATAAATGTAGTTGTTACAAAATCAAAACCATACATATGCAACATGTGCTACTTTATACAATAGCAGCATAAACTATATTTAATTTTAGATAAGTATTAATCTTTAAAAAACTTATTTCTTTGCTTATGCAAAGAATTACAACATATTAAAACACTCTTTGAGCTAATAGACATATGACAGGAAGGATAAAATGCCTTATGCATCTAAGGACTATTTGTATTGAAGTAAAATGCATTAAGATGTTCAAAGTTAAAAAAAGCAGACAAAAAAGTAAATAAAAAATTGCACATCAAGTTTGTACATTACCATGGATATATTTTAAATGAGGAAATCAAACCTTTCACTTTTTTTTTTTTTCCTGATCCAATGAGCACATGATCCTAGGTCCTTATTATAATGGTCTTATTTTGGAGGCATTACGGTGTGGAAGGTGGTTTGGGAGATGGACAGGATCCTTGACTATCAAAACTGGTTGCCCGGCCAGGTAACTGAAAGACAATAATTTCACAATATGTGATCTAGTACAGAAACATAATATAGTGGTTAATTGTTGCTCCCTTTTAATGGTGAATATTTAACCACAATATGCAAGTCTCTGAAGAGATGATATACACGGCTCCCCTTGCCCTTCAGGACTTATTAATACCTTCTCCGGTAGCATGAGGGGACATAAATATAGAATTTACACAGAGCAGGGTACACAGATGTGCACAGAGCAGCACTGCACAGACAGCTATTTATGACTGCAGAATAATTTCACATTTTATGGCAGGCTTTTTAGTTCTTTTTAAAATAATTAATGGTAAAATAATTAATAGTTTACTGGAGTGAGGGGAAATTACTAAGCAAGTGCAATAAAATGGAGGTTCTAGAACACGAGAGACTCCATTCCACTTGCTCTAAGGCAGGAGGTGGTTATAAGGACAGTTAATAAGATGAGAAAAACTGCATTTGGCAGATCTGAGTAACCAAGATAATTTCCCACGATCCTTAAATACCTATGTGTATTTAAAAAGTTTAATTACCATGAAATAAATTTGATCATCTAGGTAAAAGTAACCAGATTTTCTAAATGATGCTTTAGCCTTTGTTCTACCACCTGTTCCAATTCTTGAATAATTGTTCTTTTCTCATATTTGTCCCTTCTCTGACAAGAACTCATACAATTTAAATTATACAGTCATTTTTCTCATAGTGCAAAATCTAGCGAGTTCTTAGGTCTCCAGTCAATGTTTTCTGTTTGACCAATGAAGGTAGGAGCAGGGATTAGAAAAAAGGAGCTATTTTGCTGGAGAGAGTACATTTACACATTCTTGTTTTCAGATACTCAGTTATCAGGTAAACATCTGGGACCTTTTTCTGATGCCTATATTGTGGCTTATCTTCCAGTACATCTTATTTTATTATGACCGAAAAGTGTTCACATGTTCTCAAACATAAACATATGCCTATTCCACAGCTCCCGTCATCAGATGAGTGTATAACTGCTTATTAAACAGTTATAAATAACTAATATGCCTTGGGTTGTACAGCATCTTTCTTCTCATTAGTCAAAAGTTCTTGTTCACATTATCTCAATTATCTCTGCATCATCTGTGTGGAGCCTATATGGGCATGGGCTTCCATTTTCATTAAATATGGAGAAATGCAGTTGTAGACAGAGTGAGCAACCTGCTCAGGATTAGACAACCAGAGGAACAAAGATTAGAACCCACTTCTCCATCCAGTGTAGGTCCCTGATTAACAAAGCTTTGCTCTCCTTTCTAGGTTCTTAGGATTAATGTTTATTTTTCAAACTTAAAAAAAAGAGAAGAGAATAGGAAAAGAATAATAATTATACAATAAACAATAAAGTCTACCCTAGACAATATCCACTGTTGAAACAAAACATAACTTTCCAAGGCTTGAGCTATTCAGAGAATACCTCTGTCTATACTTCTGAAACTCTAGGGGAAAACACCATGTGACTGGGTATCTCTCTCTCTCTCTCTCTCTCTCATGTGTGTGTGTGTGTGTGTGTGTGTGTGTGTGTGTCTGTCTGTCTGTCTGTCTGTCTTCTACGATTTATTATACACTAAATTATGAAGTTGGGTAAAAACTTGGAGCATTCATATATAAACAGATACCTATGATGACAGTTTGCCTCCCTGAGCATGCAATGTTCATACAATGTTCATCCAATTTTCCCCACAATGTCTTGAGTAGCACAGCCAAGGTCACATTTTTGAGACTAAACTGAGATTAGAACCTAGTCCCACAGGTATTTAGCGAATTACACTGCACAGCCTCTGCCATTCAACCCAGTGCTTAGTGCCAGAACAAGAAGCAGAATATTATCTATGGGGAGATGGTAGATGTATTATTCACTTACTATGTGGTCAGTGTAACTATTCTTTTTTATTAAATTGCATAAAGTCCACCATCTACTACACATCCTTTTGTGAACATGCATAACCTCTCAATTAATCAGGTCATACATAAACTACTTCCTTTGTGACTCTTCAATAGGTTCTAGCAATTGTCTTTGGGCAAGTAAGCCATCTGACCTAGTAACATTTGGTATATCGAGTAGACTGATGATGAACTTCATGGCTAAAAGTCCTGACAGAAAACAGGTATTGACACTTCCTCTGGTCAATTTAACTATTAATAATAGTTTTAATAATAGCTAACCTTGTGTAATACTCTGTGCTAAACACTTGATATTCAGCATTTATTTAGTTTTACTCTGAGTTTACTACTATGATAGAGTCATAGCGGAAACTTGGAGAGGTTAACATAACTTGCCCAAGGTTCCACAATATGCAGTCACACAGCAGAGTCATGTCTTGAACTCAGGCAAACTGATGCTTCAATATTTTTAAAATCTGTTTTACTTCCTGGCCAGAATTGAGGGACATATACCTGTCCCCTTACATAGAAAAGCCATATTAGGTGACAGTACCTCTATTTAGGGATTGTGGGGAACTTTAGGTAAGGCAGCTGTTTTCACAAAGAGAAGCATAGAAACTCAGTTTTCGGCTAGTAATAAACTTACTAGATTGCCCCAGCACTCACTGTTTTAAGTTTTCAGGCTATGCAAAGAAAATAATAGACTTGCAGTTTTTACTGGGCTTATTGTCCAAAGGAATATGAAGCCAGAAAGTCTAGTGGTTTTTAAAATACAACAAGGCACACAGAACTTTGAATACTAAATGTTAAACACTGTGAGACAAAGGCGAGCGCAATCTTTATTATTATTTTTTAAAAAATTAATATATAAAATGTCAGATAAAGGTTAGCAGACAAATAATATGTAAGCAAAAGAGATAACAGAGAGCAGATGTCAGGAACTCTCAAGCTTACCTCCAGCAAGGGGTGCCAGTGTGTTATGGGTTTTCGATGATAGGCCAGCATTTCATTCCAGTGGTCTCGCCCGAGACCTTCAGCGTCCAGTCCTGTTCTACACACTCCTATGACCTCATTGTGTCCTACCCTATGATTAGTAGAATATTATACTTTCATTTCCAACATTTCACAGATAGATGGGGTTTCACACATCTTAGTAGAATTTTAAACATACGATTAAAACACCGGATTCTGTGATTTTGCAAATTTTACTACTCCAGATCAAATGAAAATTCTTAAGCAAAGAAAAATTTACTCAACATTATCAACATTCAAAAATGAATTTAGATAAGAAGCACACACAAACCATTTTAGTGCTCTGTCATTTGAACTCATTTCACAATAATAAAAATAGTGTGAATGAGAAATGCCAGTAGGTCCTTAGCTAGCTATATGATGAGTTTCTGTCTTAGTAGTCTTATTACATGTAAGTGTTGTAAATCAAATCTTGTTCTTTCCACAAAGCTTAATGTAATGATGTTTAGACTTCTCACCAAGAGCCCAGTACCCATTTTCTTTTGTACAAGAGCATATTTAGTTGACTCCAAATGCTATGTCAGTGTGTGTTACTGCTTGTACTACAGTTAAGCAGGGCACCATTATGTTCAATCCCGTGGCATTTGATTTATTATTGCATAACAGAGCACACTGGACAACATTTCTATTTTCTATTCATGTCCTGTTTTCCCAGCCATGAATCAAAATAATAATAGTTAATATTTTTGAGAGCTTATTATGTGCCAGTGTTCTGCGTGATTTAAATGTACTGACCCACTTAATCGTCATACCATGACCATGAATATCATTATATCATCTCATTTTACAGATAAATAAACTAAATGCCCAGAAGGTCAGGGATGCTCGACTTTGCATACTCAGTAAGAGGCAGAGGCAGGAGCTGAATCAGGGCAGTTGGCTCAAGACTGCATGGTAAGTTGCTTCTCAAGAATGAAACATAATTTAAAGGAGTTGCTACAGGGTTATTTTGATAGACATTTCTGAAGAGACCGTTAAGTGATTTCAGAACATTTCATTACTTTCTTCCTGTCACCAGTGTAGATATGTATATTTAGTGTCATTTTCTCAATATGAAGTTTCCCAAAGAAGCATATTTTTAGAAATAAAAATTTTATCTTCCTGTTTTATTTATCTCATTAAGATCCATTTCCCTAAAATTGTCTGGGTGACAAATATTCCATTGTATCTACCTGAACTCATTGCTGTGAGAAATCGGTAACAGAATAGGACTGTTGATGAAAATGTGTACAATATTTTTTGGGTGCGAAATTTCAACTAATTCAAGACTTCTCTCTCTTTAAATAGTCACAGTGTTTTTTATTTATACATAAATTTATTTCAAATAGATGATGCAAATCATTTTATTTTTCAGTGCTTTGTTTTTCCTAGCTCTAAGCCAGAGGGACATGCATTAATGTCCGTAGGTTACAGAGTCTTGGTTACTACCATTTTCATGATACTATAAAATGGACTCTCTTTCTGCGTGTTTGTGTATGTCTGTTGTGTACCCACTTGCCTTATTAGAACAAAGTAAATGCAGTAAAGCACTGTTTATGTGCTGATAATTTTGTGGGTTAAAGATATAAGTATTCCTTTCCAAAAATTTATAAATATAAAAATCAAAATAATAAAAAGAAGTATATACTAAGGGCGAAATAAGAGATAAAACCTTTAGCGGGACAAGAGTTCAGAGGAAGAAGAGGTTGGTCAGCCAAGAAAGACTTACAGACGCGCTGACATGAGCAGGGCTGACCATGGAGCATTGGGGCGAGGTACAGAGCAGGGGACATTCCAGACAAAGGGAAGAGTGGGAGGGTAAAGGTAGGAGCTGCAGCCCGAAGATCTTTCAGGGCTGCATTTGTGAGGCTACAATTTATTTTATTAAAAGAGAAGCGCCTCCAAGTGTGTGAGCGAGAAGAACTGTCCACAAAACAACATTTTAAGATTAATGTGAAAGCATCAAAACTGCATTCTTCTGGCCACTATCACCTTCCATGCTTAATTCTCACTGTTTGCAGTTCTGTGTCATGCTTAAATTTTACAAATGGGAAAAGTGAGTTCCAAAGAGATTATGTAACTTGCCCTCTCACATACCTAGTTAGTGAGAGAGCTCCGAGAAGCATTGTAACATTCATATTCCAGCCCAGTTGGAAAACCTAATTGTTAATTGTAATCTCTTATGCTGTAAAAAGACTTTACAATAGCGCTTTTTTTAATGTATTCCATACTACTTCTGGACCCATTCTTTCAGCAGCTGCAGGTGATTTTTAATTGAATAATGACTTCTTTTGGAGGAAAAAACACCAAAACTGTAACATAGCAAACAATGAATTTTGAAGGAATCATTTTTCCCTCTCCCAATTTAATTTAAAACTGCTGTCAAATTGGTATTAACTGATCAACACTTATGTGTAGTAACATTCATCGGGTGCCGGGCAGATGGGAGGGGGGAGAAGGCGATGGGTATATTCACACATAATGGCTGTGGTGCGCACCATCTGGGAGATGGAGACGCTTGAAGCTCTGACAGGTGGGGCAAAGACAATATATGTAAGCTAAACATTTGTACCCCTGTAATATGCTGAAATAAAAAAAATGTACAATTTAGAATAAAACCTCTAATATGTATTAGAAAAACAAAAGCAAACAAACAAGCAAAACAAAACAAAAAAACCCCCCCAAAACCCTGCTGTAGCAGTGAATAATCCAGAAAGCTGAATTTGGCCTGCATATGACTAGACATGGCTGCTCTTCAGTGAGCAGAGAGATGCACATACCTATCATAATCCATGACCGCAATGGAGAGGCTGACTTGGTCCACGTTCTCTGGTGGGATGTCAAAAATAATAGCCTCATTGTACACAGGGTTTAGAGTGTTTTTCTTTGTAGTTGTTTTCCTCTTTTTTAATCTTCGACCTTCACACATCAGAGACACTTTGACGTAAGGATCTAGGAGAAGGAAGGCAATTTTATTAAAATGAAAGTAATAGTAAAAAGCATAGATAAAACTATAGTTAATTTTTACTAAATAAGAAAAGTGGTATTTTAAGCCATTTAGTGTTAGCGGTATTAAATTCAAATGAGTTATTTGAGTTGCAATAGATTCTCTAAGATTTCTTACTTTAAATGTAAGCAATTTATCTTGAATAAACTAAGAATCCACTTGATCTCACTGTTTTTAATACAAGAGAGAAAACTCACTAGTTTATCAAGAGCCAATCCAGAACTGTAATGCACCTTTTAGCCATAGTTATTGGAGGACACATTTTGTTAGAAGTGATTTATAGGGAATGTAAACCTAACACATAAGAATAATTGCAGTAAGGTTAGTTTCCTTCACAATGATGTAGAAGAAAAAAGACTAAAACTTGTGAAAGACTTAGCAACACTGTATCTAGACATAGTTATGTACCATCATCATGAGTAGAAATTAGAAAGCAAAAACTAAATTGTGCTTGGAATTTTCTTTGATTGCTGGAATAGGCACTAAAATAAAAAGCAGCATTTTAGTCATAGTGTTGATGCTTGATAAGGAGCTTGGATTGAAGAAATGATCCCTACAAATAATTTATTGCATGCACAAGAGTATATGATAAAAAGGGCAATATTTAAAGATGGCCACAACAAAAGACTCCTGATATGATATTGTCTATATGATGCCAATGAGAAGAGAAGAATTTAGTTGGGCTATATGTTTATGGGCCAAAGGGGTCAGATAATTGTTAACAAATGTTGCTTGAGATGACTTGATCCCTATCCTTCCACCTCACACCTTAAATAGAAAAACTGTTACAGTATTATAGAAAATTATGCACTATTATACTAAATTTCTAATGAGCCTTACTTTTGTGCCTTTTTATTCAAGGCAGGTGTGGCTTGGGGAGAGGCGTTGACATTGGGCTGAAAGTGTGCTGGATGGTTAAATCAGTCAGTGTCTGCTCTATCTTCGTGGGTGTTTTTCATTTTGGCTGTCCTCTAACTGTAGCATCACTGTCTCTTTTTGTCTCTATTTTCATAGTATTAAATTTTGTTTCCTTATAATAAGCCAAAATTATGGCAATATTAATTTATTTGAGCAGGTGAATGCTTTTTAACACATTAACTGCCATGTGAGTTGTATTTAACTCATGCTCATTTTGAGCCCAGGTCCTCGTGAAGCAAAACCCTGCAGTTGGTTCTTGAAAATCTTATTTGTTGATGTTCTTATTGCTACAGTTAATATTGACAATTTAATTCTAAAAACTTGGATTAAATGAATAGAAGTCAATAACAAATTTTTCATTAAATTAGAAAGGATGATTTCATTTCCGAAGTTTTTATTCTATTTTTTGTAATAAAACACTATGGCCTCAGGAAAATTTTCTTTTTCTAGTGTGGCAGTCAATGTGTTAAACTCTAGAAAAATGTGTCTTTATAGTTCAAAAACATTTCCATCAATGAATAAAAGGTATTTTGTGGCTGGAAATAGGGTATGGAGAGGAAAACAAGGTAACAGGGCAATGTTAATGTCTGTTTTCTATTTATTTTTAAACTTTTTAATGATGGGAAGTATGCTCTGAAGAAGAAGCTCACTTCTGTGATACACTTTTGTGCTTCAGCCCCAGGCCTAGGTCTTCTCATTAACAATGGGAATGAGGCATGGATTATCCTCTGCTACTGCCACCACATCTCTGCTACATTTCTCTGCTTGTGGCAAGGATAATTTCCTGGCTCCTTATTGATTCGCAAGCCTGTTGTGAGGATTAATGAGGTGGTGCTCACAAAACAAGCGCTCCTCTGATGAAAAGCTGCATATAAATAAAAAGTAATCCTGCACTTAATTACAATGTTGATGCTGTTTGCTTGTCTCAAAATTTGATCTCTTCATATGTGGTAAAAAAAAGAGTAGAATGCACAGTAATTTGCAGAGTACACTGTTTATCTGAAGTTCTTCAACATTTATTGACCCAAGACTTTTTTTTTTTTATCAAAATCAGTGTAGTTGGTGGTGGTTGTTGGTATATCTAGGTGTACATACACACTATGTATTGCGAACTTTAAAAATGGATCATGACACAATTCAAAAATCAAGATGACAGAGAGATACGATAAGATGTCTCTCTCCCATTTGTCTCCAGCCCTCTTCACCCCTTAGTGTTTGTGCATTACTCCAGTATTTCTTTATGCAAATTAGCAGTATGAATATATGTTCTAAAATTCCCCATTCTTACATAGATGAGTGCATAACATTCATGTTTATTTTTGTACCTCCTTTTTTATTCACTGTTATTTTCAGGAGGTATTTTTGCAGCAGAACTTAGAGGTCCCCTGTTTTTGTGATGCAAATGTGGGTTTCCATGTTGTTCTGAGGAATCACAGCTTTATAGATCCTCCCAAAACAGTCATTCTTTACTATATCTCCACCACTATTTCTATTTCTGTTTAATTCAACAAATTCTTACTGACCTCCTTACTCTTCCCTTATTATTTTTCTTCCATTGTGCCAATGTTCATGTATTAAATTATAAATAATCCCCAGGAACTGCAGTGATTTAAATAAAGAGGTAAAGAAGCATGATGTGGCTTTATCTCTTTATCAAAGTTAGCACAAGAGAAATTTCCTTCAAGAATTTCTTTCAGAAATTTCAAGAAGCATTAATTTATTTAGTTATTTCTGTCAGACTCTATGGATACACAAATATTTAGTTAGAAAGGTCTCAAGAATGCAAATGGTGGTCTTGGAACATGGCTTTTCTCTGCAGATCAGGTGAGGAAAATAAATTCAAACTATATATCTTCATGTGGCTCTCACATACAGCTTAAAGTCTAAGAATCTTCTGGCATAAACAACTGACTAGCTGAAAGCGCAAGAGTGGATGGTGAGGTATGTATTTCTGAGATAGAACTAAAGTGGTAGAGAAAGAAAGGAAAACAAAATCCCAAGTTCAAAGTCAATCTATTTACTAATAACCTTTAAAAATTTCATAATGATAATGTAAATAAAAGAGGTGATTTGGAACATTTTAATGTGCAATCTCTTTTTTTCTTTTTATAGCACCCCACTACGGACAAATAATTCAATAGCCATATATAATTTTACATACACGGAATATTTTATTTGGGAATGTGCCCTTGATTTTTCTGGCCAATTGTGTACTTACCTGATGAACCAGTAATATCCATCGCCTTCAGATTTCTGCACTTGATAACTGTTAATGTCATACGTCCAGCCGTTGGCAAATAACAAAGGGAAAACATGATTTCACCCAGGTCTATACTTTCCTAGAAAGGCAATTTCAAACATGAAATAGTGGAAAAAAATATAATGGAAGATGTTGAGTGAAAAATCACTTTAATAGAATATTGGAATATCATTTTAAATTGTTTTATTGAGTATACAGATAACATTGCAAAAAAGCAGTTCTGAATGCAGTAAGAAGAGTATATACCAGCTGCTTATTTGATATCTCCACAGTGTTTACACCAAGAATCTCAAACTTAACACATTTCAAACTAGACCACTGATTCCACCCATTCCCCATCATTTTCCAAAACTGAATCCTCTGTCCGTGCTTCCACAATCAGCAAATGGCATCCCAATCCACCAAAAGGCTGAAGCCAAAAACCTAGGAGTCACTTTTATCTTTTTCCCTCACCCCTATGTCCAAACCATGGGCAAGTCTTGACTGTGACTGTCTATAAAATAGATCCTCAATCAGTGACTTTGCTTCAGTTCTACTACTGCTATATAGGCCACCATCACCTCTTGCCAGGATTACTTCACTAGCCTCTGAAACTGATCTCTCATTCCAGAAGTTAAATCTTCACACGCAGCAGTCAAAGTGATCATTATGAAATGCAAATCAAACTATATCAGCCTTCTGCTTAAAACTAAGGGTTCACAACTGTATTGGCATAAAATTCAAGCTCCTTACCCTGGCATGTAAGTGGAGTAACTCCAAGACTTATAGTTAAAATACTTTTACTTATAGTTAAAATTCCTGGTTTATATCTGTTGTCCTGGTGTAATTATTAAGAGTATCTCCTTCCACATTTAAATATGTCTTTGTTTAAATGTGGACAATACATTAGAAGGTCATATACATAAGGCCCAAGGTCATTTGGGCCCTACCTTTATCTCTCACTTTATCTTTAGCCTCTCCTCCCCAGCTCTGATGCAGGCACCTCCCCCTTCAGAAAGACACCCCCCCTTTTTTGTTATTCAAACACATGAAGTTTTTTCCTACTTTGAAGCCTTTGTGTGTTCTTTTCCCTTTGACTAGTACCTTTTTCTCTTATATCTTCACATGGCTGACTTCTCACCACGCAGGACTCAGCTCAAACAGCATCTCAGCATCTCTTCAGTGAGGCCTTCCCCATCACATCATTCATTTTAAGGTAGTTATCCCTTCCTATCCTACACCCTCCCCATTCTCAGATCTTTCACTGTTTTTTCAGAGCACTTATCATTGTCTGATATCATCCTTTAAATTCATTTTTCTTTGTTTCCCTGACTCCCGTTCATAACGTCCAGGAGAGCAGGGTTCTTGGCTCTCTTATTTTTTTACATCCTACAGAAGTGCCTGGTGTACAGCTGGTTGTTAGTACATAGATTTTGAAGGAATGAATAAATTATTTAACTAATCTGTATCAAACATGACCTGTTTTGTTTCATTCATAAAGCAGAACTGTCCATAGTATGCTGACATAGATTTATATGCTGTGTTTGACTGCAGAGATCATGGAAAAGTGAAAATGAATGTGGACAATGGACAAAGAGCCGTTGCTCTGAATTACTAGGCTCTACTATTCCTAGACCACAAATAAAGAAACAAGAATTACATAATTCAGAACCTGAGCTGCAAGAGTAAGCCCAACAGATGTTAATAGTTCATCATGAAGAATTTTTAAGAACCTAGTTCTGTGAACCTGGGTGCATAGTCAGCAACTTATTTCTCCCAGAATTAAACACACCACAAATTCAAGTAGAAGATCTTTACTTCATTCTCAAACACACTAATTTATTTGGCTGATCATTCACACAGTGGTAGGAAGAGGTTCATCTCTTTTCACCATCTAACAATTATTGAGCATTATTTGCTAGGTGCAGTGGTAGGTGTTGTGGACACCAAAATGAACATGGCATGATTCTGCCCTTGAAGATCTCAGTTGAGAAGGAAGAGAGTAGGCTATAAAGGGATAAAAAAACAAGTCCAAATGCCATTTTTATCACAATTCTCTTTTTGTTTCTTTTTCCATGTATTTCTTTGGGCTCAGTCTATGGGCTGAAATTTTCTGACAGCCAACCCCCTTTCCCTCATTGGGTATTTCTCCTTTCAGTTACTATCAATAAGTGTTGCATATTTTGTTGCCAGCTCATCAAATTAAGAGATCTCTCTATGAATGTAGAGCATGATACCAAGTTCCACCAAGAAACATGGTAGGTGTGGTGATGGAGAAGCCAGGAGAGAAATAGGAGACACGATTTCAGGCATGAAATAATAGAACTGAACAGGAAATGCACCACATGAAAACAGAATAAAGTATACAGTCTGGGATTAACAAAATATATTTTCACGTTTGACTGATATGGTTTTACTTTTACACATTAAATAATCTGTGAAAGTAATTTTTCTACTTCTTTTGAACTGGGTGGTAAAAATTGATGTAAGGTATTCATACACAACTGCACAAAAGTTTAAGTCTCCATTAGCCTCATTTTTTCTTTCAGGAAGTGTGAAAGTGAAGAACAACCTACCTACATAGTGCAAAGGGTAGAATACTCTCTAAGGTAAATACCAATATTATTAGACTTTTTAAATCTTGAAGTGATCTAAGAGATAATCATGAGAAAATGAACTTAATGAAGGTAAATGGCATGACCTTAAAAAAGGTCTCATAACATATGTAATGCAGAACTTTAGATTTTGGCAACAGTGCTCTGAGCTATCGTGTATGCCAGTTATCAATACCCTCCACTAAATCTGTCTCGGTACTGATAGTCCAGCGTCAGTGAGCAGGTAAAGTTTTAATTGCCACCTCTTCTCAGCCTGTCTCATACTATTGTGGTTTATAAGGTTATATTCAGCCCAAATAGTCCAAACTCTGTGGTGCCCAGCCAAGACCAGGAAACAAGTTGAAAGTTCTCTGAACGTACAGCATACATATAATTATACACTAAAGTTCTTTTATGTAGAAAGACTACATCATTTCTTTTTTTTTGAGACAGAGTCTCACTTTGTTGCCTGGGCTAGAGTGCTGTGGCATTAGCCTAGCTCACAGCAACCTCAAACTCCTGGGCTCAGGCAATCCTTCTGCCTCAGCCTCTCAAGTAGCTGGGACTACAGACATGAGCTACCATGCCTGGCTAATTTTTTCTATATATATTTTATTTGTCCAGCTAATTTCTTTCTATGTTTTTAGTAGAGATGGGTCTCGCTCTTTCTCAGGCTGGTCTCGAACTCCTGACCTCCCTCCTTCGCCTCCCAGAGTGCTAGGATTACAGGCATGAGCCACCATGCCTGGCCATACATCATTTCTTATTCAACACCCCTTTACTATTGTTTTAGACAAAATTGCTTTAGACAAAATTTTAGCACAATTATGACTTGCAGTCATAATAATTACTGGAGTCATCAAGATAAGGAAATATATCTTATAAGTTCTTTTTAAGAAGGTAGGTAAGTATACACTATTTTTCAAGATTATTTTTATCCAAAATGCTTAAAATGTTTAAAGTGATAATTTCATCTTAACATGAAGAAGGCTTTGAGTTTGTAAAAATTTTACTTATGTGTAATCCCATTTTCTATAATTTTATATAAAAATTAATTTTCCATATTAACCTTTGAAAACTCTTGTATCTTTGGGCCAATAACCATTTAAAAGCCTACTATAAAGTCTAGGATATAGTGTTCCATAAAGTTCCTTTCAGGTGAGAAGATCTTTACTCCATTCTCATACACTAATTTATAGGGCTGAACACTCACCATGGTAATCTTTTGAGTCCCTACTTGAAAAATGGGCTTATGAATATGGGCTAACAGTAAGACTGGGTCAGCAGGTGTATATTTGATTTCCTCATCCTGGCTCCACCAAAACAGAGCTGGGTAGATAAAGATCATTTTCTGATGATTGGCCATAGTCAACCTCAAAGATAAAGTCACACTTATAAAATTTTTTTCCACACATTTTTTCTCCAAAATAAAAATAAAATTCACTGAAAGAATAAATTGATAAGCAAATATTTGCATTGCACATCCTATTTTGGGACTAATTGAACAGTAAAATCAAGCTGTAGTGATTGAGTGTAAGAGATGGAGAAGAGATAGATTAAAGGCTCTGTAACTAGAACCAAGGGACTCATTCCTGGAGGGAAATTATCATTACATAAGGTTTAAAGAATTATGAAGGTGATATTTCACAGGGAAAAAGAGGAATGATATTGTATGTTAGTACTATGATAAATACTTAGAAATAAGAATAGACAGTATGTGCTGAGAAAAATGGAGCTTGGTGACATGTTAGAGGAGTTTCAGGCTTGATGTAGCCGTTTGATGACTTCAGTGGGCAGAAGAGATCCAAAGGTGTTGGTGACATGAAAAAGTGGGAGTTTGTCAGAGTAGAAAGGATACAAGTTCCCGGGTCAGAGAAACTAGAGTTAAAATTCTAAATCTTCCATGTACTAGTTCCCAAGCATATGGCTAAAATGCCTGACCTCCCTAAGCTTGAGTTTAATAGCAAGTAAAATGGGGATAATAATATCCACCTTGCAAGGCAGGGGTCAAGCATGTAAGGTGCCTGGTATAAACAGACATTCAAAAATTAATAATGATATTAATGAAAATAATATTTGAAAAACACTTCTTTACCTTGAGTAGACTAGATCAGGATAAAAAAGACAGAAGAGAGAAAGGCTATTGAAGTAAAATATTTGTGGGAAGGTGTTGGCTAAAGAAAGGTTTGAATTCAGTGATATACTGGGATGTAAGCATCATTAAGACTTATTGAAAAAAAAATTTAAACATACAATTGGTTGCTGCGGTGACAGCAGCCCTCACATTCACTTAGCACCCTAAATGTGGCCTATCTTCCACGTTTCCTTGGTGGTAAGAAAACAGATGGTTTTTTCACACTGTTAAAAGCAAGATGCGTTACTAGATCAAATGAGCTTCTTCATCAAGTTACTAGTCCTTCATCAACCTGCCCACAACATGAAGCTGCAGTGAAATGCAGACCCAGAGTGGGTCTACCAGATTCAGAGTACTGTAAAATTTTTATTT